TTGGTTGAAATCGTTGAGATGATCGGCCACTGACTTTCGCTCCTCCATTTGCAATTTGAACAGCTTTTTCATCAGCATCACCTTGTTTATTGCTGATGGTTTTTCATACATGTCGGCGAGTATCTGCAAGACCTCCTTCGTGCTTTTTGCTCCCTTCACATGGTAGGCGACGTTCCGAGAGAGCGAAAGAATTATAGCACTCATCGCCTTCCGATCGAGCACCTTCCATTCATCATCGCTCATCTTCTCGGGTTTTTCCCCAAGAGGTGCGTAGAGGTCCTTCCCGTACAGGTAAGCCTCCATTTGCATTCGCCAGAATCCAAAGTCGGAACCATTGAACCGTTCGACTTGAATCTTTCCCTCCATCTTATCTCCAACCTCCTGGCTCTGATACCAGTTGTTGGGAAATAAGGTCGGATAAGATGGAATAATAATAATACACCAATGTGAGATCAATAAAAGACACGAATATTTGTTAACCCAGTTCGGATTAAATCCTACATCTGGGGGCGAACCAAGCCAGGAGAATGAACTAGAATAAGAGGATAAACCGAATGTTACAACTCACACAAGCCCGTATGAATACACTCTCTCTACTCTTTCTTCACACTTGGATTGGATACAAATGAGGTTACAAAATGAGGTATTTATAGCCAAACAAATCCTTCTTGAGAGGAAGTTGAGAGGAAGCTCCCTTCCTTTGACCAGGAAGTTGCAAGGAAGTAGCCTTCCTTTGACCAGGAAGTTGCAAGGAAGTAGCCTTCCTTTGACCAGGAACTTACGAGGAAGTTCCCTATCTTTGACCGATCTTTACACCTCAACAGCTTCAATAAAAAACTTGATGAACTTTAGCTTTAGGAGATAATTGCAATCTACATTCATGAAAACCATTTTGAAATTGTTAAGAATCTTCACAAGTCAATAGCATACAATTAACGAAAGATTTTCACTGCATTGAGAAATTATTAAATGGTATAGAACTAATATAGTTTTACATAAGGGTCAATAAATGCTCAATTTGTAATGTTGAAAGTGTTGTAAATTAAGGGGTATTGCAAAACTTAAAACGTGTTCCCACAAGTTATAGAGACCGTTTTAGAGAATGTGTTCTTACACGTTGCAGAAGACAGTTTCAGAGAACATGTTTTTACACGTTGCAGAAGACTGTTTCAGAGAACGTTATAGATAACATTTAGAGAACGTTACAAACCCACTACCAAGTCTTCCCATAACTACTACATATTTTCTCCTATAAATAGAGATCACTTCACACTCTTCAAAAATACATCTCTCTCATCTTCTTTTCTCTAATTTTTTTTCTGTTATCCTGGGTTAATTTACTCTTTTAAGAGTTTCATGCTAGTTTTTGAGATTCTCGGATATTCCGACAAGTTCCTATTGTATGTTCTTAGGCTATACAGAACATAATGTTGTCTATAGATTTCTTGTCCTCAAAAGTGATGTAATTTAGCATAATGCTATATTGGAGACAAAAAATGTTGAGCTCTTTGAACATATTTTTCCTCTAAAGGTTAGTGAGACACCTAAACAATTTATAGATATTAATAGTGATAAAATATATGAGGATTTGAGAAGAAGTAAAAGACAAAGGAAGGAAACCTCATTTGGAGATGATTTCTACACTTATCTAGTTGAAAATGATACAATTAGTTTTTTAAAGGCTACTAGGGCTCCTGATGCAATACATTGGGATAAGGCCATTAAGACTGAAATTGATTCAATTAAGAAAAATAATACTTGGACTTTGGTAGATTTGCCTAAAGGAACAAAACATAGTGGTTGTAAGTGGATCTTTAAGAAAAAGTATCATCCTGATGGATCCATAGATAAATATAAGGCAAGATTAGTAGCAAAGAGTTTTACTCAAAAATCCAATATTGATTATTTTTACACCTTTGCCCCTGTGACTAGGATTTCCTCTATTCGAGTTTTGTTAGCTCTAGCAACTATCCATAAGCTAGTTATACACCAAATGGATGTTAAGACAGTATTTTTGAATGGTGAATTAGAAGAGAAAATTTATATGACTCAACCTGAAAGGTGTGTTGTTCTAGGTCAAGAGAACAAATTGTGCAAACTTTTAAAATCCTTGTATGGATTAAAACAAGCACCAAAACAATGACATGAAAAACTTGATAGTGTTCTACTTTGTAATGACTTTTCAACTAATGATGCTGATAAATGTGTGTACTCTAAATTTGAGAGTAGTGAATGTGTCATTATATGTTTATATGTAGATGACATGTTAATATTTGGTACATGCATTGACATTGTCTCCAGAACTAAGTTGTTTCTGGGATCTAAATTTGAAATGAGAGATATGGGTGAATGATTTTGGAAATTAAAGTCATAAGGAAGGATGATAGTAATTTTTATCCCAAGAACAATATATTGAGAAACTTCTTAAGAAGTTTGGACGTTATAACGTCAAATCAGTGAATACCCCTTACGACGCTAACTCTAAGTTAAAGAAACATAGAGGGCACTCAATCTCTCAACCTCAGTATGTCCATGTAATTGGGAACTTACTGCATTTAATGAGTTTTTCTAAACCTAACATTGCTTATGCAGTAGGTAGATTGAGTAGGTACACTCAATGTCCTAATCAAGAATATTGGAATGCACTTACAAGACTTATGAGATATTTAAGAGGTTCAATGGATTATGTCATTGAATATAACGGATTTCCTGTTGTACTAGAAGGGTACAGTGCTGCTAACTGAATCTCTGATTCAGATGAGACAAAATCCACTAGTGGTTATGTATTCACACTCGGGGGTGGTATGATTACATGAAAATCAGTCAGGCAGACAATTATTGCAAGATCAACAAAGGAATCTGAATTTGTTGCTCTCGATATGGCTGGTAGTAAAGTTGAGTGGTTGAAAAACTTCTTAGTAAATATTCCATTAGGAATGAAACTGACATCGTCTGTATCAATACACTATGATTGTCAATCGACAATAGTTATAGCTAAAAATAAGAACTACAGAAAAAAACAGACATATACAATTGAGACATAATTTAGTGAAGCAGCTGCTAAAGAATTGAACCATTTTCATTGACTATGTGAAGTCAGAACGGAATCTAGCAGATCCTCTAACAAAACCCTTGGCGAGAAATATGATTTTAGAAACATCAAGGGGAATGGGACTTAAGCAACTTGCAAACAAACAGGTGATGGTAACTCAACCTTTGTGATTGAAGATCCCATGAATAAGGTTCATATGGGTAAAAACAAGTCACTTGTTAGTTCTGTTAGTACTAAAATTGATTAAAATCAATTATTTTCATTCCTATGGTGTATATGTGAAAGTGTTAGATACTGCATCATTGAGAGGTTAAACTTTGTAATTAAAATTCCATGTGGTGTACGAATTTTAGTCTAAACAAAGTTTTTAACGATTTCATATTCCTTAAGGGTGGTGTATGATTTGCAGCATACGCTTGATGAAGTCACCTATATGAATGTCGATTGAGGCCACTTGTATGAGATTTTTGCAAGATTTCTAGAGCACTCATGAATACCGGGCACGCGCATGGCCTAGTAAACACAATAAAGCGATGACAACAAGAATTATGAGGGTGTATTGTGATTGTTAAAACCGCTAACACACATTAAGTGTTTTGGTTCATATAGCTTGTTACACTAACTACACTGTGTGTTAAGTTTGTCCGTCTAAGACTGGATCATATAGCTTTCTATACCAGCTCTAATGCATTACATCTTATATGAGACCGAGGATTTTCTTCTTTTATTCTTTTATCTCCTTTTTTGTTTTACAATATGTGGAGGATTGTTGTAAATTAAAAGGTATTGCAAAACTTAGAACGTGTTCCCACAACCATTTCAGAGATCGTGTTCTCACACGTTGCAGAAGACCATTTCAGAGAATGTGTTCTCACACGTTGCAGAAGACTGTTTCAGAGAACATTACAGATAACGTTTCAAAGAACGTGACAGATAACGTTTCAGAGAACTTTACAGACCCACTACCAAGTCTTCCCATAATTGCTACATACTTTCTCCTATAAATAGAGACCACTCCACACTCTTCAAAAACACACATCTCTCGTCTTCTTTTCTCTAATTTTTTTCTATTATCCTGAGTTAATTTACTCTTTTGAGAGTTTCTTGCTAGTTTCTGAGATCCTCGGATATTTCGAGAAGTTCCTGTTGTATCCTGGGGGACTTGCGAATACACCACAGATAAGTCTTTAAGGACAGTACTTATACACGTCTCAGGAATAAAATTTGTTTGTATCTCTGTCTTTTACAACAGGAAGTACTCAAAAAGGGGAGGAAACTACCTTGATCTCCAATGGACTATGGAAGATTTAGGATTTTTTGGTGTTTTTCCTAGGACAAGGAATTAAGACTTTGTCAAATAATAATATCTTACATTTGAAAGAAATTTAGTGTTTGAAGTCAAGTTTTTATGTTTCGATAAGTTCAGCTCTGAACTTTAAAGGTCCAAGAAGAAGGAGAAGCATAGGAAAAAAAAAAAAAAACAAGACAGTCAAGAAGCAATAGTATGTTTCAATTCTCTGTCTTGAACATTTGAGGACCTCAATTATGGCATCATGGCGGTGATTGATTTCATCGTGGAAGTAAACAAGACTAACCAGAAGGAAGGATGTGCAACAGTAATTTAGCAATTGTCACAAAAATTTATATATGTTAGTCTAAAGATCTTTCTGACAAAACATTTACTGAATCAACCTAATGTGGTATGGAATTAATTAATATGAAAACATTAGGAGCTTAAATAGAAATTTGCAAATCAAATTAAAAAAGAGAAGCACAGATAAGAAGCCTAAGAAATAATGACAAAAGAAGGAGCACAACAAATAATGACAAAGAAGTAAGCATTTGAAAAGGGAAATAAAGGAAGAGAGAAGGAAAAAGAGGAAAATGCAAAGATGCAATCAACCCAAAAGCTTAAGCTATTAGGCGTGAGCTTAGAAATTGCTTTTAGTCACATCTCAAACGCCATCTCTTGACACAAAAATCCTTTGGACTTGAGGCGTGAATAAAGCACAAACACAGCAATACCCTGCGCTTTCAATTCAATTTTAAAGCAAGAATGATGGCAAAGATTAAACAATCATTTGGACAATGAAGACTCCAACACCATGTCAAGAAACAATCATCGCTACACCACCAGCCAATATAGGAAAGCAATATCACTTTTCAATTTATATAACATATACATATGAAATGTATGTATCATTACAGCTTTTATATATTTCAGTCTTAATGCTAACCTATCAGTGGAAGTAATTTGAATTCCTGCTCTCAAATCATGATTACTTCATCTCCATGTAGTTCTAGCAATTTGTTAGATATATCCTATGTAAAATAGGCATATCAACAAAATAGATATACAAACAACAACAGAAACACGATTTAATAATATATGCAATCCTACCAAGCAGAGCAAGGCATTAAATTCTGTGCATTGATAATACATGCAAGACTTCTGACATAACATAGATAGCTTTTCTTCTCCATGAAATGTTACCAAAAGCAACGCACTTATTGTCTTTGCTCCCGATGGATCATCATCGTGCATAACAGTATTCTGCATTTCTGCTACCAGCATAACAACACTCTAGTTGTAATCAAGCAAGATTCTACTCAATAAAACGTGTTGGCATACTTGATTATCGATTAAAAAAAATGCAAATGCACGAGAATAATTTCTTTGTCAAGCAAAAGGAAGCATGCCTGATCTTAACCTTCAATTCAAACTTGCACTCCAACACACATTGCATGTTAGAAAGGCACCAGGAAGCATCGGGAATCGTGAATATGTTACTCAATCAGTAACAAAAGTTCATTACCATGCTACTTGGTAGTCTCAACGCAAATCTTTTCTAACTCCAAATTCTCAGAAAATGAACAAATTATATTGGGAAGTAGAATGAAGGAATAAGAGATGACAAACCTGAATGAAGATGCAGTTGAAGAAAACGAAGTTGTGGACTGAAGCGTTGCGGTGCATAAGCAACCACGAGGTGGTGGAATTCAGAAAAAACCAAATAATTTTATTTTCATACTTCGTATTGAAATTTAATTAAAAAATATATATTGCCGAATATGATAATCTAATCTCTTTTTGAAGTTATTGAAATTTGTAATTTATGTTGTGTATTCATGAAGATATAATTTAAATTATGTTATAATGAAAGTTATTAAAAAATATATTAATATTTATAATAAATCATTTAAATTATAATATAAAACTATTTTAAATTATTCATATTTTAAAAAATATTAAAATTGGTATAGAAATATAGCTAAGAACGGTATTTATAAATTATAATACATTTTTATTTTTCTTTTGGTAATTTGTAGAAGTAATGTGTATATGAATGCATCTCAAATGTTTTTTTTTATGAAGTTATTAATAGAATAAATAATTATGGTGATGTTGTCTGATTTCTCATGATATTATCTTTAAAACGTTTTAATTGATGAAGATAACATATATGTATAAAGCGCAAGAATTAAGAAATATAAGTGAAATAAGACTTTATTTTTTATTTTAAAATAAGAATAAATATTTTATTGTTATCGATTTTAAATTATAAAATAAAATCAAATTAAATAAAGATAACTATTCGATCGAAAAATATAATCTATCTATTGCGAGTGGAAGATATGATCCCTTTTCTGTGTTCATAGTTTTGGTAAAGAAATATCTTATAAAATATAATAAAATAAAACAAAATTTATTTTGAATAATAAGGAATAATAATTTCTAGTTCAAATCAGTTGCAAAACTTACGTGACTAGATTAAGACATTTAGAAACATTGAATAAAATCATAAATATCAAATTGAAAAAATATAAAACTAGAAAAAAAATGAAATACCAAATTAAAAAAATATATTAGTAATCTAAAAGTCAACAATATTATTAATCCATTCAGATTATTTAAATTTAAATAAATGAATCTAAAAAAAATAATTCATTCATTCATATTAAAAAAAAAAAACTCAAATGAATTTGATTAAATTCAATTGACATATTATACTACCATACTCTTACTCAAACGTGAGATTTACTCATTTCTCACCAACTTTGCACTCATTCCACATCAAACTGAGAGGGATTTTAAATGACAAGTGAGTTATGATATCTTATATTATAAAAATCAAGGTTCTAATTGTAAATATTTAAATTCTAAACCTTGATAATAAAAATATTTATAGGACTTCAAAGCGAAAATAAAAATATTTATAGGACTTCAAAGCGAAAATAAAAACTTGTGATAAAAAAAAAACAGAAGAGAGAAGAGAGAAGAAGAATAGATTTTTCTTCTTCTTGTGTCGTCACGGTCGTAAATCATAACGTAAGGAAGCATAACAAAAGGTTTATTTTGTGGAAATTTTTAATTGAAAAATAAAAAAGAAAAAGGAAAAAGAGAGAAAAGACATTTGTGGTTAAAGTTTTATGTTACCTTCGTTGAGACATGATGACAAGTTATCGGCTAAGAGGCCAAAGTCGTACACTTTCGATAATATTCTTATTTTTCTTTTACTTTTTTTCCTTTAATTACATCACATCATATATTATCATATTATTTATTCATTTGTTTATATTTTCAACGCTAAAAAATAGTATGTAACAATAATTTTGCTATAATCTATATTCTGATGTACCATCATTTCAGTCACATGCAAGGCCATCTGGATTTTGGACCAACCCCTACAACATAACTATAACTATATCTACTAGGGCATGGGGACCATCCAACGTCAATTTTTCTTTCCAATTTTCACTTAAATTTACTTTCTACTTTCCACATTTTCTTATCACTTTTAATATTTCATTATACATACAATAAGGTTATATAATTATATAAAATATATATCATATAATATACCAACTTGAAAACAAGAGCATTTTCGTTTTATCAATATAATAATATTAATAAGATTAATTTTAGTGTTTGAAATATTATAATTCTAGTTATACGATTTTGTTATTAAAGATTTTTTAATAAATTAAGAGAATATATATAAATTATTTTTAATATTAATTTTTAAGTAACATGATTCATCAATATATCGAAATATAATCTCTTCGTTAATAATTAATAAATAAAATTGGAATAAAAATCTCTTACCTAACTTTTTATTATTAATTTGAGCAATATTTTAATTACTTATTATAATTTTTTTATCAATGATAATCAATATTTTAATGAAGAATTTATTTTTTATATATATAACGACAATTATCTTTTTTTATTATTGTTTTATTGTCACTTAAAAAAGACTATGTATAACTAATGGAAAAATCATATAAAAACATCTTAAAAATAAAAAATAAAACTATAATGTTTTTTTATTGTCAGAAATATATATATATATATATATATATATATATATATATATAATAAAATTAAGAATGAATGTAGAGAAAAATAAATAAAAGTAATTATATTAAAAATGTAAATATAAAATTACTTTAAAGTTTACTTTTATATATAATATAATCATATTTAATGATAATGAAAAGATGTTAATCATATTAACATCAACATCACCAAACATGTACGGAATTATAGATGAAGATTAAGAGAAATAAAAATAAAATTATATATATAATAAAATAAAAATTATATTAATATTTTAAATTGGAGGGAATCATGAATGAGAGATCCCATAACTCCGTCCCTGACCATCATCTCACGTTATACATTGTATTATATTAAATTAACATTAAAATAATAATTAAAATATTAAAAAAAACTGAAAAATATAAAAACTATTCAGCCTTTATAAATTTATTTCAGTCAAAAAAAAGTTTATTTTTCAGTTTGAGAACTTTTAATTTAAAAATATGTATTTTAAAAAACATTAAAGTTAAAAAAAATATTATGATATGAAGGATGTAATAAAGTTAGAGCATAGCATATGAAGTTTGAATGAAAGAAAAGAAGCGCAAGGCTCGAGAGAGAGAAAAACGGATTGTGCGATGGGACACGCTTGGATTCTTCAGAAGGATAACATTACTACAAATCGTAAGGATAACGTTTCTACTTCAAAATAATAATAATAATAATAATAATACAACATAAACTTCTTTATTAGTTTTTTAACGTATCTTATAAAACTTTTTTTTCATTTTCAAAAACTTTTAAATAGTAACAATTAAATATTATCTCCCCCTCTCGCCTCATGTCAATTTTTTTATATATAGATTTTCTAAAAATAAACAAATCTTCTTATTTTTTTATGTCGAATAAATACTGAAAACTTTTTTATTATTTTATCTATTTCGTTTTAATTTAATAGACAGTGCATTTTATAAATAAAAATATCAAATAAATTATTCCATCAAAGGTTGTACAAAATTTAAAAATTAAATATACAAAATTATTATTATATTTTTATACAAGTAATAATAATTATAATAAAAATATCTAAAAATGAACGATTTAAATATTGAATTAGTTTTTTTTATAATATTAAATCAGTTAACAATGAATAGAGGTATAAATGTTTTAATCAGTTTTTTTTTTACAATAAATAAATTACTCGACGATATATTTACATCATTATTTATAATTTTATTAACTTTAAAATATTCATTAAAGTAATATTGACATTAAAATATTTTTATAAAGTATAATTTAATTTAATGATAAAAAATATATTATATTGGTTAACTTAGAAATTATTTTAATTAAATTAAATTTTGAATTACAATTTAAAGTGGTATATAATCTTAATTACTAATATTTTAGCTGATAATTAGAAATTGGAATTCAAATTATTAAATAAGAATCTAATTTTCAATTAATAACTAAGATTAAAAACCAATTTAAATTTTAATTCAGAAATCATTTAACTAAAATATATTTTGATTTAGTTAATATAATAATAAAATATTTTTAATATCTAAAATAGTCAATATTTAATAAGTTTATTGTAGCGTCAATATACACTTCAAATGAATAAAAATGTTTATAATATTTTAATTATTTAAATTTTATTTTTATAAAATTACTTTTTTTTTCTAAGTTTCTAAAATCTCTTACTTCTTTTTTAGATTTTTTACTCAAGTCTTCTATTTTTTTTTTAATCCAAGCATATTATAATGTTCCTATCAACAAGTGAAAGATTTTCATCTAATTAGAAATTATTATAAAGTAAGTTTTTTTTTTTTTTCTAAAGTGAGTTGTATATTTTGCGCGTACTAGAGATCTATTTTCATGCGTTTATTTTTGGACAAAAATAAAACTTAACTTGTTTAGGGTTCTTGTGTAGTATTTGGTTTGTTGATTGGATTATTTTCTGAAAAAGTTAGAACATCACGTGAGATTTGGAAAATTTAAGCATTTATCTCCTAGAGAAACTCAATTTAAGGTAAAGTAAGGTAAACTAGTTTGATATATTTTCAATATGTAGTAAACTAAGGTAAATGACTTGAATGTTGAGAAGTGACTTGATCACTATTAATTGAATTGTAGGGATAAAAATTTAATTGGGTCTTTAATAGTTTAGGGTATGTTATTAGTGTGGCATGATTAAATTGATTTGAGAATGAAAGAATTGATTATTGCACTACTACAAAATATACTTTCTACGTCGTTATTTAACGTCGGTTATAGCTGAGACGACGTAGAAAGTACTTTCCACGTCGGTTCTCAGATGAACCGACGTTGAAATTGAATATTAAACACATTCTACGTCGGTTCTTAGTCAACCGACGTAGAAAGTACTTTCTACGTCGGTTCCCATATGAACCGACGTTGAAAGTCTTTTTTTATTTTATTTTTTACTTACTGATAGCGGTTATAAGGGAACCGCTATCTAATATACACTTTAGATAGCGGTTCCCTTATAACCGCTATCTAATATGCACTTTAGATAGCGGTTCCCTTATAACCGCTATCTAATATACACTTTAGATAGCGGTTATAAGGGAACCGCTATTATATCCTCTCAATTATGATCGATCATTTCAAGTTATGATCGATCAGAATCT